TCAGCAAATCTTCGGATGGAATTTATTAGGCAAAATGTAATAAAATTTCGGATTCATAAAACTATAAGCTTTTATCATACAGCATTTGAGTCATCTTCATAGTACCAGAAGATTACTCAGCTATCCATGGTGTTTTTGATTTTCCATCAAATTATGAGGTGTCCCAATAGTAGGTACATAAAAACTTTTTAACGCCGCAATTATCATGTAATCAATACTCTTGATTCATACCGATATTCAAATTTGCTCGAATCGATTGGTTATATACCATTTCTAGTAGATATATAATCTATCAGCTTAAATCATCAGCCGCATAGCACTAACGTTATCTTTAGAAGTCGCTGTAGAAGTACGCATTCTTCTCGGATTCATCAGCTAGTTTTCTGAGGACACGGGATGGGGATTCATCGTGAAAGACTAATCTAGTATTTTATAACATTTTTATTGAGTCAATCTTCAACGAAAGTCATAATAAATGATTGAACGAAAATAAAGCTCACGGACACACACTTTTTCAATGGCCACCAATTTATAAAAACAAATGACAAATTAATCTTTTTACAGATTACCAAAGAGTTCTTATTTCGATGTTTAAATATATGATTCTTGTGTAAGTAAGAAGGTAAGTTAATGCAGTAAGAGCCAGCTGTTCTAAGTCACTATGTGAGTATATTAAAAGCTTTTAGTGTGACCTTCAAGGGTTTAGGGGTGACTGATTCGGCGAACTTTGTACCGTCATGGAACATTTGTAATTTTTCAGTGATGGTCACTTAATTAATACTCAAAACTAATTCATCGTGTCAAACCAAAAAACCCAGATCAATGGTCCATCTCTCCAGATTTTAACGCATGCTAATTATTTTTATGAGATTACTTGAAAGATCTCTGTATAGAAAATGCTCTTAAGCTGAATAACGAGGGACTTTGGCTTTTGTCATTTGGTGATCGACACAAGTCGACTGTTCCTGATACAGTAATTTGTTCAATTATTTTTTTCTACTATTTATATTTAAAGCGAAATCATTGAAAATATTACCATTGTATACCTATTTATTATAATTTAATTTCGAAAATACCACGAATAATTTACACTTTAAATCGGGTCCGAGACATCTCAGGGCCCAAGAAGAGGAGAGAAGGGAGCGCAGCTATATTCAAATTGCGAACATTTCATTTTAACGCTTGCGAAGATATTCGCTCCACTCCCACGCTCTCAGTACCATTACTATGCATGATGTTATCGATATCGACAGAAGAATGAAAATGAGACGACCTACGCTCATGCTTCAAACATAGTTCGCCTCACAAATACAATTCTATTATTAACGACCATGAAAGTTCAAAAAACATAATAAAATTACAATTTGGTTTTTAACTACAATATCCCTTAGGCATTTGAGTTGATGGTGTTAGACGTTTCTGTATTTAAATGCCTTGAAACTCCTATGAGTAATATACGCTATTGAAAGACCAACCGAGAAAAACAATTAGAGGTATATAGATAATTCTTAAGAAGAGAATTCGTGCGAGAATTTGATGGCTACGCTTTTAACAGCTCTACTTTAAATGAAGTTTATTTAATTTCTTAATCGTCTTTGAAGTTGAATTAGCATTGTCGAGAAGATTCTACTTTTATATAACAACAAAATCCATCAAAATTTTAGTTTTGCCTCTGGATTCAGATTAATTATACATAATATTAAAAATTGTACTATTCTTCATTTTATCAAAGTTATTTTCACAGAATTAAATTTTCTGTAGTTGTTTTGAACTTGAACCACATTTCTATAAAATAGATTGCTTTGAAAATAGGTAGATAATTTGAAAAATAAAACTTATAGAGCTCTAGCTCTTATTTAATATTCAACCATTGAATTTTCATATTCTCAGAGAACTTCTTGCTTCTATTTTGACGAAAAAAATTCATAAGTTTTCAGTATTCTTACTACTAATACAACTTTATTAATAAATGGAAACTTTATAAATAAAAAAAAAACATAATTTTCTGCAAGAAATTTTGCCGCTGAAATTTCCACATTAAACTCGATACCTCCAAAAATAACGAAATATGATAAAGAAAAATATATTGGTACTTATTAAGTTAAATAAATTATCGATAAAATAAATCCACACTTTCCCATCCCTATTAAGTTGAGACGTTTGCGAAATGTTCACATTTCGCGAATTGATCGTTGAACCTCGGAATTCTCATTTACGCCTAGGATCCTCTCCCTCCCTTAAACCTTGCCCCCTTTCTCCCCGCTCACCTGTATCTGTTCATGGGAAGGTACTTCGGCATCGCGTTTCTTTAGCAGTTTCTGAATAGCGTTTTACATCATCATACACGATATATCGTTGAGTTACGATTCAGACTTTTTAGAACTCATAGAGATGAAAGTTAAGTTCAATGTCTATTGCAGTTTGATATTTTATGGTTATTTAAAAAATAATAATAGTCATGAAACTTTAACATCAATTACAAATTAAGAGGTAATGTAGATAGGGCCTATAACAAATTAACAAGACTAAACAAGGCGATTAAGGGTCCGTGCATATCTGACGTCAGAAGTTAAGTAGCAATAGTGACCGATTAAGTCTCGCCATAACTCTAGTCATATCCATAAAATAGGTATATGATTGGATTTATTAAAGAATATCTTTATATTATTTTGTAATATTCTTGTTTTACTAAACAAATCTATTTTAAATACTGAAACTAAAATATTTTATTAAATATAGATTTAAATAATAATGGACATACCGTTATTAATAAATATCAACATGATTCAATAATACAATAAATAATAACGTTTTGCTATGTCTAGAGTTAGGTGGACGCTCCGTAGAACTGATGAATTATGTGGTATGACATTCGAACTTACACAGTCGACGAAAGATCCACACTTATTTGAGGTGCTTGACGGATATTTCTTCAAATCTGCTATGACTCTTAAATTTAAGCTCATTAAAATACACACTTCGTTTTACACAATACGGGGCAATATCGTGTCGGATAACGTAAAGAAGCTGTGAACAGTTTCATTGTTCCACCATACTTTATTGCTTTTAGCTCTGAGCAGCTATTGAATTAAAGTTTTTTGTAAAACTTTTCAGTTAAAATTAAATTCTGTTAAAGACATATTAAGTTGCTGTTTGGCTAAAATACATCATTAACATATTGTTTTTTCCGTTTGTGGAATATAGTTTAATAAGAAAAATAATTAAAGAAATTAATCAAAAAGTTACTTTACAGACCCCTTTAAAACACAAACAGACACACCTCTGTCGGACAATGTAATCAGATTGGTAAGAGCCGATATACATTTTTTACTACAAAACCGTTGTCATCGCTGTAGACATCATAATAAAAATAAAAATTCAGAGAACATTAAGAGAAGAAAATAATTAACAGGTAACAAAAATAAGATTGCAGACTCGCGCAATTATGCGTAGTCTGGCGTAGTGAGTTGTTTTGAGAAATTTGAGCGCCCTTAATTAGAATTTTAATATTGCAATAATTTTCATAAAAAAAATAATCCAGATAATTAATGTCAGGAATAAAAGCGTTCTTACGTAAATGATGTTCAAAAAACTAATTTCCTAAGCGGTAGGTATTTACACTGGGCTGCACTTCAGGCAACTCTAACTACTCTTTTTTAAGGTTTAAAATCAAGTAGTTAAAATTTGACAGTTTTGTAAAACCTGATATGCTATTGACTGTAACAGCTATCTAGTAAATGGTCCTGATGTAAGTAAGTACTAGGTAGGTATTGAAAATGACTGAAATCTACAATGGCGTCATTTAATTTCAATTTCTCTGTAGCGCATTCCCGATCGGATTAAATACAATACGCGCAGATATTCAGTTATACATTTGATAATTACAGCTCGCTCTTTCACCCATCCCCCACCCCTCTCCCCACCCCCTCGCAACTCCCCGCCGATTCTCATTGTAATTTAAATCGAATTCCCGCCGACAAGTAAATTGAAATATTTCAATTTAGACGCACCTTCCGCCTCCGACGTTCGACATTTGAATTGAATTTGGAATTAAGATCGCAACCGTAGACTTTGCGTTCGAATTCCAAATTTGAATTTGAGAAATTCCATTGCTGCTTCTTGATGCGTTATTATTTTTTTCCAGAGAAAAGTTAATAATTAATTAAAGTAGTCTTTATAGAATTATTCTTCTCACGCAGGATCATTTATTACTTCAATAAAACATGAGAGAACTGAGATTAAATCAATGTGTTTACAATGTCAGAACGAATTAAACAGATTTGGTGGCTTAATATGGCCAACAAAAAGTTATCGGCACACAGATCTAAATATACCACTCGAATATTGTCCATATTGACCCGACAACGAGGCACATTTACCGCGTCTGGCTATACAAACAAAAACCTCAACAATAAATATTAAAAAAGAATCAGAATCCTCAACGCGAATAACAAACATAATTGTGTTTTTTGTGCTTCATTCAATAGCGCTTTGTCCGATAATACAAAAACTGGTTCTCAAAAAAGTCACCTTTATAAATTAAGTTTCAGCATACCAAGCAGCCAATGGGAGACAAGAGGCGGAGTCAAAACGTCTCCCCATTGGCCCACCGAAAGCTCTCATCTGTCTACATTTTATATAACCGGATGATACAACATATACAGTTAACACTATAGCGTGAGCGAGACGTGGCTAGTGCTTGAATACAGTGTGTCGTTTCGCACTTGCTCCGTCTCGCTCGCGCAGGCCCCGGCAACTGTCAGTTAGTGAGCTCCCCGAAAATGAAGCAACAGTGTTGGTAACAACCCGAAGCGCTTAGCAGCTTTTACTGTTGCGTTCCATTTTCAAAATTGTGACGTGTCTTTTCAGTTTTTTTGAATTTTGACTTTTTTCCTATTTTTGTAAGACCGTGGGATAAAATGTTATTGTCGTATTTTTGATAAGATAAGTGAGGGAGCGTTTAGTTTTGTATTTAAATAGTTTGAGGAATTGTAATGGAAATGTCTTTGCCGAACGGTGTTGATGTGTCACAGTTAGTTCAACATCCTGTGCTGGCTGCTCTACCACCGTTTTTCCTCAGAGCCTCTGAGAGATATCAGGTAAATAGACTAGTAATTATCTATCGAGACTTTTAGTCCTAAAATCTTAAGATCCCTCCTCAATTAGTTATATTAATATATCATAGATAATTTTAACATTTAAGTACTGTTTTTTTTAATTTGCATTTGTATTAATAGCAAAACAAACTATTACATTACCAATGTAATAAAAAAGTATACTTCTTGTAATATTTAAACTGTTTTTATGTTTTTCTTACTTAAAGTATGTTATCGGCAAGATAGAGCTATATTCATTACAAATTTCATTCTTATAAAAAGCTTTTTAAAAACAGAATAATCAACAACAACGGTAAATTGTTTAGAAAGATAACCATTACCTTAAAACTAGATTAACGAATTAACTCAAGATAAATAACAAAAAATTAAGTACCTAAATTAAAAGTACCTTAGTGAAAGTATCTTTCATAATATACAAGGTACTCATAGTAGTTACAGCATAAAGTGTACCCGTTGGTTGTTATTTTATCATCGGATTTATGGGTATTATAAATTTGAATTCATTTGAAGTATTAGATATTATCTAATACGAATACAAACTTAAAAAAGAGTTAAACTACATTGATTCCGAAAGCCAGTTAAGTTATCGTTTATATGAATTTTTAAAAGCAGACTGTTGCATATTTACGGAAGCGTTCTCCGACGAGAAAGTTATTTAAACATTGTGGAATATTACTTATTTAAGCTCAAATGAATTTTAACAAAAATAGGTTCTTATTGTTTTCAAAATACATATCAGCAAAAATAGTCTGTACAAATTTACGAAAACATAGGATTTTTTAGTTTTAACTATAGTGTAATGCTGCAATAATTCCAGTGGTTTGTAAATTTTCGTTATGTCAAGAGACAAGCATTTGCCGCCAACAATTGGGTCCGCAAAATCAAGAATGTGAGAATGTGGCGTGAATTTTCTTTTATAAATCTTTAAATAAGAACCATAATTTAAAGCTAGAAAGCAATATATTTTAAATAATTATCCGAGTAAGTTAACGTCTGATAGCATGCTTAAGTCTTATAATGATTAGTGTTTGGGTATTATTTTTGGTCACCCATCCTATGAACACTCCTAACGAAAGTTGGTTAACCCGTCAGCAGGTCCGTATCCCAGACCGAATGCTGAGTCATTAACCTCCTCTTATGAAGCTTTTATAATTTTGATATCAATTTATCTAAAAGGAATAGGACAAAATTGAGGTTCAGGCATTTTGTATTGACATGACCATATTTGCATATCAACTGGTTGGTATCGGAATAAAAAGCTCTCCTATAATTAACCTTAGCACCATTATGTAACTCCTTTCTTTGTTGGATATAAATTTTGTTGCACTATAATTCGGTTGCAATAATCAAAATAACTGTATCACGTAACACTTCCTGAATAAGTAATAGATATAGTTCTATAACAGCTGTATAATAGTGTTAAACACATTTTGGGGAGAGTATATGTAATACGACACTTTAATAACGTTATCAGAAATGTTATTAGCAAATATAAAAAGAAACACGTAACTTTATTATTTGTAATGTGATAATATAATTGGTGTTGTAACTTTATTGAATTACCATAATATGTTGGGAGTAGGGTATCGCAAATTGTACATTAAAAATATATTTTGTAAAAAGTTATTGGCGACTGCCACGAATGACACCATCCTTTTTGATAAGTTTTATATTTGTGTTCTTTTGCTTTGACTCTTTGTTTTTTACTCTTTTATTGTCATTGTCGTTTCCCGTAGTTCGCTGTAATTTGTGATCAATTATTTATTAATATATTTTATTATATATCCATTAGTCCATCCTTATTCCCATTTGCATAAGTAAAAATCAACTTAAAATTGATGAAATGGTAATTGTAATATTTATAACATTTGTGTTATAATCAAATATATAATTACTTCAATTAATCTTACCTTTCCTTATTTAAGCATTATATATAATGCGATATTTAAATTAATTTATTCAGTATAGTAATGCTATCTTACAAATCAGCACTACATATTGCAACACAAAGAAACGATGCTAAAAATTCCTTTTATACTTTACCGTATATCTGTCTGTTTAAATATTAAACTACACATACTTAAAAATTACTAATCTAATTATCACGCAGCTTTCACCATTAGACAATTTAAATAATAAAGAGACGACTTATGAGTAGAATATAGGTAGTTTATGATTATGTGTATACAGGCTTTTGAAATAAGTGCAACCTTTTTTTACTGGTTCAGTCTATTGCTGAAAGCTGCGTGATAATAAGATAAGTAGTATTTAAGTATGTGTAGTTATTATTATGTTGAAAAAAGAAGCAATCGTGAATATGATAACTCCAAAGAGTAACTAATAAAACATTAAAATTTTCGTGTCGAATACAAATGCCTGTATTATCCGGAGTTTGAATATTGTAGTTTTTTTTTTTTTTGTTGAATATTATAAAAATTCATAGGTAAGTTTTTATCAGCTAGTTAATTATTTTGATTGTCATTTACAGTATAGTTTAGGTGTTTCAAATATATTGAGGTTTTAATAATTAAGTATATGTAAATTGTGTATTGGACTTCTCTGTAAAAATGTAACATAGAAAACAAACACTCACTGAGTTTCTCACAAATCGAACCCAACCGTTGTTTCTGGTCAATTATACAAAAAAAAAATTATTTACTCCGTTATAAGTATGGAAAAATAAGGTTTATTGTATTTGGAAAAGTGAAAAAGTACTTTCTATTTATTCAAAATTCATAATGAACCCACAAATACTTTAATATCGACTAGCTTACTGTTTTCCGCCACTTACCGGGTAAATTATAGCCTATGTCACCCAAGTATAATGTAGTAAGTGAAATATTTTTTAAAATCGGCCCAGTATTTTTTATGCAATCAAATATTCAAATCATTCCTCTTTATAATATTAGTACACAAATCGTAATATTTATTATTAGCTCCCCGCTAGCGGTTTCGCCCGCGTGGTGACATGACTTGATATTACTTTTATCCCTAGGGAATCATTAAGTGATTTCGTACCCATATACGAAATTTTATCAAAATCCACTCAGAAATTTCTACGTGAAGTAGTAACAAACATCCAAATCTAATTTGATCTTCGCCTTTTTGATATTATATAGTTAGATAAAATATTTTCATATATTTAAAGACTTCTTACTATTTACTTTACAGTTTTTAAACTAATTATGTTAACTAAAACTTTGCTACCCTATTTAGATGTTTTTATATTTTTAAATATGCTTTTTTATGTCTGTTCCCTAGAAGTGGGGGGCGGGCAACATTAATTGGCTCTTCATAATGTCTCATCACTTCATAGAGAACTAACTGGCGGACTAAAAAGAATTTATCTGGTATTATCACTATTATTACACAATTCAGTGTATTGTATAATAATAGCGATGATATCCGAGTAAAAAAAGTTATTCTATTGTAGTCCGTCACTCAGATAATACAATAATATTACGATAGATGCGTATTTTTTGCTTCAATTTAACAAGAAATGGCTTAGATAATAGTTGTTGAGTTGGCGGCTCTCTACGTCACAACTATGTATAAAATGTACAAAGATGTGACGTCATGTGACACTCAATGTATTGGCGTAATTTATTGATTACTCAAAAAAAATACATGTTTAATATCCTTTAGTAACCTACCCGACAGACAGACAGACATAAAATAGTCATCATGCCAATTATACGAAAGCTGTTAGGAATTCTCGAATGAGTTTTTATTAGGATAGCAAGAAAATGAATTGCATACTAATTAACCAGTGTTTTCCTCTTCACCAGAGGACGCCGAAGTGTGCGCGCTGTAGAAACCACGGTGTGGTGTCAGCGCTGAAGGGTCACAAGCGGTACTGCAGGTGGAGAGACTGTGTCTGCGCAAAATGCACACTTATTGCTGAGAGACAACGGGTCATGGCCGCTCAGGTATCTTTCAAAAATGACAAATTTCAATTATAAGAATCGAATAGTTGAGTATCGTTTCGATACATTGGGGAAGAAAGGTCGTAAACAGTTTTGAGCAAAAAGGCTGAATCCTTTTTGCTGTTGCAGTTTTGTTTCAAATTTCAAGCTCTATGGAGGTACTAAAGTTTCTTTATTTAAATAAAATACCTATGCATTTTACGAGGCATTTTTTGTAGCCAATCCAAACGAAAAAGAAACAAGTTTTTGCGTCTCTTGTACAATTGCTCATAAATCAAAAAATATGATTGTTTGTAAACACATTACTTATCATGCCTTTTTACGGATTTGGTCGTCTATGGCCACTTAAATGTTGAAATGATAAATAGATAGATAAATCAACTCTATTGCTTACGCAGGAAAAAAATATTACAGGAAGTTTCTTAATTCTTGATAGGCAAAGGCGATATAATCGCTGAAAGCGATCTCTTCCAGACAACTCTTGTGACAATAAAAATATTAACCCTTACTAGTACGAACCTTTTCTCCGCTGTTTAAGTTTTGAAATGTTGTACTGACAAACTTTTTCCTTTTTTTTTAATTAATAAGTTTTTCTGAAAATAATTGTGTATTTTCTCAACTTAACGACGAAAGTGTAGAACTACTAAACAAAACAGACAATGTTGTAACATTGTTTGCTAAAATAATGTTTTATTCAGAGACGTAAATGCCGCAATGAATTGTCGTATAAATGACCTGGATATTTCAACATTTGGGGAAACTTACATTATTTTGCTTTTTCTCTTCCTATTATTTATTAGGGGAAAAAAACGACCAAACTGTATAATTTTACTAAGTAGTACGGATTTACATTTTATCTACTTACACTCGACTTCAAAGTTGACTATGAGCCAAAAGGTTTCTTTTACTCAGGTGTTGGATACTCTAATGAAAACAAGTTTGAAATATTAAATTTATTTTATAGCGATAGCTATTTTATAATGATTGCCATTACCATTACCAAAGGACAGCGTAGTCGTATGCCACGACAGTTTGTTTTGTTATAATCAGTGGTTTAACTGCCGCAATAAAATAAATTTCATGTTTCAAATTTTTAGAACGTGATTTAGCTGTAGTTGCACTTATATTTTTTATTTTATTCAAAAGCTATCAATATATATATATATATATATATATATATATATATATATATATATATATATATATATATATTTGAAATTTGCTAATTAAGCCCTTTCATTTGCTACCCTACTCGGTGATTGAGTAATAAATGATTGAATTTTTTTCTTACTTTATTCTCTCTAGAGGGCACTATTGCCAACTGAATGTAACGTCACATAGTCTATAAAATTACGATGAGTAGTTTCGAATTTACAAGGGAACAGATGAAAATTCTTATATACATAGGTATATATATACATACATACCGACTAAAATAATAATAAACCTCCTTTCGCTACGCTGTAGGCGAGTAAATAGAAAATATTGACAAATTTCTTGCAACTTATTGACTTATATGCGTATGGGAGTGACAATATAACTGTAAGAGTTAAAAAAAAGTTGGTTTATTATATATATTTGATTAATTTTGCTTTCACAACGCTATACTGAAGAATATTCTTAATGAAAAATGCTAAAAAAATCCACTTTGTCCCCGGCACTCTGAACTTAACTCTTTGGCTTCGTAGATAAAGATTTATGGCTTTGGCTAGAATCGTCTCTCGTCTTAGCCACAAATACATTTTATTGACTTTATCAATGAATATGTTATATTTTTCTACGAGTATAACGTTTAATCAGGCGCTCGTTAACCCCAGATCCATTTAATTTGTAGTTTGCATTAAAATTTACCATAATATTTAAAGGAATGACTTGTGTTACACGTAAAGGTTTTTTAACCTGTTATATGATATGTGTGTAAATATATGTTTGTGTTGTAGGTGGCGCTTCGAAGGCAACAGGCACAAGAGGAGAATGAAGCCCGGGAATTGAATCTGTTATATGCTGGCCAAGCCTCCGCGCCTCATCACTACACTGACATACAAGAAGACGCGCCCGGTGAGTAAAGCTAACGTAATTTAAACTCATCATGGCACTATTAATCTTCCCACTGCTGGAGCGCAGGCATCGCTATAGATGGAATCGAATCGATTAAGGAGAATGGGCTATGACGCATCACGTGGTCCTAGTGTGGATCGATGAATGTTGCCAACTGTGAATGTAGCCGAGACAACGGCTTTCTAAAATACTGTGCTCGACGAAATTTTGGTCACCCTTCCTATAATCGGCCCTTGCGAAAGTTACTTAACATCCACATGGCAGACCATAGGCTCTTAACAACGCACTAGTGTACATAAGTAATCAACTAACCTCAGTTGTTTGTTTTAATTCTTTATAGATTCACTTTGGTGACATTATCCTCCAAAAGACATCTCTCCGCATTATAAGTTACCTACGAGTATGTATCACATGTAACGTGGTATTTGATCTCCCACCGACTATATCCGTCCATCTGGAATCAGTATAATGGCATGGCGGATCATGCCATTATCCTGATTTTAGAATACATCTAACATCATAGATCATTATGCTCTGCCCACTTCTATATTCCCCGGTATTTATAAATGTCCTTTCTACTCTATACTCTATGGTCTTGCATCATGGTTTCTTTCTCCACATAGCAGAATAAATAGTTCAAATTTGAGAAATCCATCCAAATACTACGGCCAATTGTTAAAAAAACAATCCAGCTGCACACAAGCCACTTAAAAGCAAAATGAGAATTACAATAAACAAATTATAGCTTCAAACCCTTTATATAACAGCTGACATAAATATAGAAAAAATAAATTTCGATAAAAAGAGTCTTTAGGCTAAAATTACTCCATAAGCTGAATACATTCTGCTTCTTTGCTCTATAAGCTGAATAAATTACTTTTTTTCGTCTGGATAGTAATCAGAGATAGTACATTTAAGCAAACAATAATAAGATAAATGAACAAAATTAAACTCAGATAGCTATTAGCTGGATAGTAACTGAAAATACAGGATTTGTCAGTATAAGTTTTGCTATAACCAGCTTCCTTTTGAATAACCAAAAAAATACTTTCTTTAAGCCAGATAATAGTTCAAATACTTATTCAGAATTTTATGTAAGTATATTTTTAATGTAAGTAGGTATATTCATCGATTTCTTTTTGAATTCTGAATTAATTTCTATCAAACTAGCTGTTTCCCCGCAAATTCGCCTACCTAAGTTATAGCCTATGTCCAACGCGTATAATGTAGTTTTCCGTAGATGAAAGACTTATAAATCGGTCGAACAGTTTCGGAGCTTATCCAGTGCAAACAAACAAGCAATCATATCTTTCCTCTTTATAATCCTACCCTGTCGTATTGGAAAAAAAATATGTCGAACAAATAAACAAAATCTCCTTTCCTAAGACTTTCACTATGCGACATATATATATTTTTTAAATAGAAACGATTTCAAGCTTTAAAAATGTGATAAATCATATTTATCTTAAAAGCCACTTATTCAAGAAACTGCTATTAAAGTCGAGCAACTATCATTCAAATAATAACCTACAGAAAATCTCCACTCAACTTCAATAGCAAGTTTATAGCATTATAATATCGTTATAACCACAGAAAACAGGTTGTAACCATTTTTTATAACTTAATGAAACTTAAGCGTCATCCGACACTGACATAGAAAAGAGTATTACTAAAAAAATAAGAAAAGAGTATTACTAAAAAAATAAGAAAAGAGTATTACTAAAAGTATTCATATAATACACATTACATGCTATTCCAACTTTCGAGTACGTGATGTTTGTATAAATCATCTACCTACACGACTGAAAACACATTTATTTATAACCTATCTTAATATAAATTCAATACCATTATCCCAGGCTTACTTGTCGCTAACCCGTGAAATTATTTTATACCAAAAACCATGCTTAATCACTACAAGTTAATTGTGCTATGATAAGATGTTATGTGTGTATGTATGAGAGAGAGGTTTCAATATACAAACTGTTCCCTAAGATGTGATGAAAGCTAAGATTGTAATAAAGCGACGCCTGGGGTAGTTCCGGTGCCAAATGAGGTCACTTCCGTCGGCCATCTTGTGTTGACACTTTAATTTCATTTAATGTTATGGTTCGGCTATTATTTTGATTTAAAATACCTTGAAATCATAAAAGGAGTCTATCTTTTAATTTAATTAAAGGAAAATTACTATTTATAAGTGTAAAACTCACATATCAAAATTGACAAAATTCACTTTAATTAGAAAATGTTCTTACAGTCACTCATATTTTCTAACTTCACAAAAACACCCATTTAAATTGACCTCTTAATGAAAAATAAGAAAGCACACTATTTTAATTCAAGTGATTTTAATTGACAAATTTTAATATTTTTCTGTATATTTCTACTCAGATTTTTTCCTCAGATATTTGCCGTCAAAGACTATAATATAACTTTATCAAATGTAGACTGTATTTCATTGTTTCTGTTTTCTATAAAACAAGTTTTAGCAAAATCATGCTGCATCGATGTAAAAATATAAACTTCATATTTTTTTGTATAGGTGGTACGTTTAACTAAACTGAACCCAATTACAAATAAAGTTTCTGCACATTGACTAGTCTATACTAATATTATAAATAGGAAAGATTTGAGTGTTTGTTTATTTAAGTATTCTTTACAAGAGATAACTTTGTTAATTATTAAAGTGAGTAAGTAAAATTAATGTTATGTTAATTATCGTTTAGCTAAAACTTAAGCGATGCATATATTAATCACAAAATAATAAAAACACATCAAACAATAACAGAAAGAAACCCTGCATATTACTGGAAACGTCTATAATGTAATAAATAACACAATATTAGAAGCTGTCCAAGATATAGTAATAAAAATTTAACCATAAAACGCCAGAACACATATAAATTGCCGTTAATGGAACCTGTCAAACTTACAAAAAAGCAGAGTATCCCATTAAGAAATTCAGACAAAATATTACTGTTAGTTTAAAATTATTTTTTCACATAAAATTATCTACCGACTCTATCCAACCGTTATTCCGCAACAGCGCGACTGTTTACTTTTTTACACTTTTCATCTGGGGTCGTGTTTTGTACGTTTGTTTTTCCTTTTTCCATAGGCGACGCCAGCGCCGCCTTGCTGGCGAGTGGGCGACACTTCGTTCTCTTGTCAAAGTTTAATTGGTGCTTAGAGTGTTCCTTTCTATACCGTGTTTTGTTGGAAACTGTTCTATTTTTAAATTTCCAGGCAACCAACGTTGCCTTGTATGGCCATTTAGCTGTGTCATAACTGTGACGTTTCTCAGTATGTATCAATGTGTTTGGTTGGGCTTTCGGAAAATATTTCAAAACTACTCATTAGGTGAAAATATAATTTCTCAAATTTTAATGTTAGAAATTTTATCAAAACATGTCTCTCCTTGCTACATTTTATAAAGCCCGTACTTTATAAAATGTAGCAAGTTATAATCACTTCCAAATAGTACTTTACTTATTTTATTTATTTTTTTCCACTGAACCAGAGAAACCATTTTAAATTGATAGATAAAAAATATAATATTTATAACTATAACAGAGTCGTCTCTATTAACATTTTGACAGTCTATTATGGATACTAATTGTTTTATATATTTTTTTTTTTTGTTATTTCCAAGAACTTTGGTCTTTAGTCCATATAATAAAACCATATCAAATTAATTATGAACTTGGATCTAACACATGATTTGATAACCATTAAAGACCTATACCTCTTTGATTATTTCTTATACCATTAGCAACAAAATAGTGTCTTCAGCCCAGCGCAAAAAAGGTTGGTTAAGTGCTTTCCCAACTTTTTTAATTGGAAATTCGTATAGTCAAAAATCCAGCCCCAGAATCAGCCCGTAACACCCTGTATCGCTCCTGTGCAGCCCGCTGAGTTAATTGCTGTAACACTTCACAGCTTTCATCATACAAATGTTTTTAATTCGCCTTGATGCTGATTACGCCTAGACCGTCTGAGCTCTTTGAAATTCTGCAACTAAATTATAAAATCTTGTTTGAAACTAGCTTTTTCTTTTGACTTTTGAACGTTAGGGGAAGTTGGTTTACGTATGAGAATTTTTGGTTGACTCTGTTAGGTATTTAATTCAATAGAATGTTCAGTTGCGAATGAAATGTTGTCCGAAAATCTTACAATATATGTATAGTAAGATTTTCATACAAAATTACACTTATGAGTAATTCAGTAGGAAAAATATCGCTGAAGAACGAAGTTAAATTCGCTTCTTTTGTCAAAAATCTGTAGCGCCGGTAGTACCTACTACAACTCGCATCTGCCTTGATATACAAAGGCCATCTGTTTTTTTGTTAAATTGTTTTCATAATATTTTCGCCATCGTTAATTAACTATGTGAAAATATTTACTTATAATTTCTGCTATTACTCTACACAACAACTTATAATTTCTGCTATTACTCAGCATCTCAATGTAAAATGTACGTTTCTCTTACTGTATAGGTACTAATGCACGTTTTTATCATTCATATCGAACATAATAGTTTTATTTGAGAATGTTACATAAAGTCTATACAACCTTGTTGATCTGAATTATATATTTCACATTTAACAATAATACCCAATAGTATAAAAACTCATAATGTAACAGAAAGTACTATACAGTTTCTTAAAAAGAGACGCGTCTGCGTTAGTATCAATGGTGTAGAGATCGCCTCTTTTATTGCGACGGTATAAGTGTGGCATATAGCTTTGACATACCGACATACCGATCCCTCGTACGTGCCGCAAAATATAAGAGAAAAGCGGTTATGTTATTTGATATATTCACGCTCTATATATAAAGCTGTACCAAAACCCATATGACTTTATAAAAAAGAATGAATTTATATTATCATTATTTAGTGAAAACATCAGCTTAAAAGTCAGTAACAATTTCAACAAATTATTTTAATGCTATCAAATTAGGTACAGAAGAATTTAACGACACCATATAACTGCTCAGGGCTCAAGTTGAGTAATGAAAGCCCTAACGTTATTGAAATCTGACTGTAAGATAGACATAGCAGCATAGTATGTCGAATTTCTGCAGTTGATCAATTCTGTTTTGAATTGATTCTGAAAACTGAAGATCGATGTAATAGGATCAAGTGGAAAGTCAATTTTGTCTCACAAACGGAGTTAGTACGCGACGGAACTTCCGTAAGAGCGTCCAAGGTTCAATGTCATATCATATTTTTATCATTTCTGACGTTCAACTGCCGACCAATCGCGATATATCTTCGGTCAGATTTATTCGATTTTTAATATCGAAACTCGCTCAAGCGTATAAGTTGGGCGTGTTTTTCCTCGATATTACGGCGCGCGTAGGAATGCGCCCGCTACACTGTATTATTGGACAACCACGTTATTTACCGCATAATATGGCGGGTATTACAAGGGGAACATTTTATATTAACAATAGTCAGCATATAAATATAAAGAAAATCACGTGTCATAAATTAATTATGACCATAGCTTACAATAAAAAATTTATTACAATAAGAAATTTTATACGCAGTAAAATGTGCAAAAGTTCAGCCTTTATACACTTCAGTGTTATTCCAATGATAATAAACACGTAAATCCTGGTGAAAATATGTTTTATAAAACAAATATCTAGGTTACAAGCCTAGACACTAAACAGTATTACGTTAATGAATATAGTCTTAGGATAAT